ATATATGAATTTATTTGTTTACTAATGTTGGTAATGTTTAAATGCCGATGAGGCTACAAACGAACTTTATTCGACTTAATCATTTACAATCAAAAAATACAATTTTCTGTCGACTCATATTTCATTCGCAGTTATTATTAAAGTGCGATTGCAAAAACGTGTAAAACGGCTCTTGTTATTCGATCTCCGTTTCCCGTTTATCGCGCAGGCTAAATCTACACAACATTGTGCGATTCGGGTAAACTGAATCGCCCGATGATCGCCGTCACGCTCGCGTCGACGTTTCGCAATTCGCGCGAGGCGTGGAGTCGCGCTCTAAATTCAGATTTTCGTACAGTGCGCTAATAAGCGCACGGCCCATGTCATTCCCTTGCTGTTATTTCTTCTTTTCTTTTCTTTTCTTTTCTTTTCTTTTTTTTTTTTACCAATGACATTGTCCGCTGGACACGTAATTGAAGGTTGCCCGCTTCCGCGGACGATTTCGTTAACCGTTGAGATATCACCGCTTTCTTTCGACTCCAACCCGTTTCTTACGCAGTCGTTTATTACTTGACGACGACTGTGGCAACAGGATTTCATAAAGAAATCTGGTACTACGCTGAATTAAGTTCGGTCGTCTACTTGCGCGTCTTTCAAAAAGACGACAACGGCAGCAGCAGTAGCGACGACGAAGACGGCAATAACAAGAGTGTGTCGCAAAAGACTTTTTCGTAGAGTAGATAATTTATTTCGAGCAATTTACTTAGTACCACTTTTCGAACCTACTTGAGATAAGTGAAATCACGTTTAGGATGTTTCATAGAGAGAAGTACTCTTCTAAGAGAAATAATTTCTTCAACATTTGAAGTCGTATTAAATTTTATGATGAAATAGAAATAGATATTTTTATTGAAAGAAAAAATTTAATATATATATATATTTTTTTTAATAATCTCTAATTTTCTTTCGAAAAACATATGTCTTAATTTTACGTGCTACTTTACATTTTTTCTTCGTCCCTACCGTTTTGCGTTCACTTTGAAATATTGGAAAATAGCTTGGAAGAAATGATGATGATGTCGGCGAGATCAATCCATTTATCCGCGGTCACATGGTATGTGTCAGCGCTTTGATTGCAGGTGAAGAATTATGTAAGCATGTCCTTCGTAGACATCAATTCAGATAACAAAATAAGGCGTAGGTCGTTGACAGTCGTTAAGGGTCGTAATGACACAAATAATAAATGCGCTTAAAAACCGCGATGACTCTTTCTCACAGTCAGTGTAATTAAAGGTATTATTTGCCTATCCATAAAGCCCATGTTGACCGTTTGACGAGATTTATTGTCAATATTGCCAATATTGCCAATAACCAGTTTTTTCCAATTTATGAATTTACGGTCCATCGATATCGATAGGTATATCGATAGATTTGTGATAGAAATTAAATGAATGCAATTTTTTACATGAGTTTTTATCATGTGTTAAAAAAATATGTAGTGTTTGAAAAAAAATCGGTACCAGTAATTTATATTTAAATTTTCGTAGTATGTATGTATTTAAAGAATTTCATCGTGATAAATAAATATCGTTATTATATTTGAACACGCTTTTTGGTTGCGTGAATTTTAATTCATTGTCAATTGTACACATAGAACGCATGTATTAGTTTAAAATCAATTTTTTTTATATCTGTGTAACTCAATCTTTGTTTTTGTGATGATGGCAAAATATTGGATAGTGAAACATGATTGTAGAAATACCAAGATGTACATACACGAGAGTAATAAGAATTTTTAGAGCAGAAAATACGATCCATATTTTCCATGAGAAATGGGATGGTCATTTTTGGTGCTTTCAAATTTATTTTATCATTAAAATTTATTTTATTTTAAAAAGTCACATAATTTTTTTATAACTTAATTAATAAATCGAGCGTATATTTTATCAATATAAAGTTTTATATTTATATTTCATTTTGATAAAGATTTTGCAAATACTTATATTATTTCAATATATAGATTACTATTTTTAAACATTTGTGCTAAAATTAAAATCGTAAGAATTCTTTGAAATGTAACTTTTTCAGTTTTATATCGTCTTTATTTAATTATTCCATCGAAAAAGGGAACGAATGTATTTTCGTTATGTAACATCGTAATAAAGGTCTTTCTTTAAAGGTCTACTTTTCATCTTTTCAAAGAAAAAATCTCTTATTATTCAGCAAGTCTATTTTGTCATCAAAAGAGGCGCATCTAATGCTTCACTCCGCAACCTGGAAGAGACCTACCCCCGTTACGATTCTAATAACCGTAAAGTCGTGAGAGGTTCATTCGTGACTGTAATGCCAAACAACGATAAATACGCTCGACGGTACATCGTGAACAAATAAACCATACACATTATAAAGTTTAATGAAAAAAAAAAGAGAAAGAGAGAAAAATGATAGGCATTATGATGGATATGACTTCATCTACTTAAGAGTAATAGAATTAAAGAATGATAATAATAATAATAATAATAATAATAATAATAATAATAATAATAATAATAATAATAATAATAATAATAATAATAATAATAATAATAATAATAATAATAATAATAATAAGAGTAATAGAATTATATTTTTATTTCTGCTAACAGAAAAATTGTAAATAAAAATATGAGTTTATAGAAAATTTATATATTTATTTATAGAAACTCCGAAGCGTTTCTACTTCGAGAGTATAAAATTGAAATGGTTGCTATACCGTTATTGGATCCAAGATCAAAATTAAATCATCGGCCACGTATTTAAATTAGCCGTACAAATTGGATGAAGCCAGAGCGGGGCTCAATACGCTCTTATCCGCTCGAGCCGTCGAGTAACGGCTACATCTCATTTTAATTATTATTATTCAAACAACGAGGTGTTGATCTCCCAGTTTTACCCACAATTTGCGCGCGAGGAGCCGTTTGACTTCGCGGCTTTGTTGGTACACAGAGAGAGGCCAATTCCTATCTTCCGTCCTTTTTCTCCTGCTCTCCTCCTGTCACGCCTGTGTCAATCCGCGGCGTGGCCCCGCGACGTGTGACGCAACGTATTGTTTACGAGCCGCATTTCAATACAATCGTGTGGGAAACGTACGCGCGCACGAAACGTAGGGAAGAAATGTCTCGGCGTATCCTTGGCACACCCCGAACTACATTCGTACTACTGGCTCAGAGCCCGGCGGCTTTCCTGAGGCCGCTTTCAGGCCACGACGCAGCCTTAATTCGACCGGCCGTTTTTGTTTCGACGAGCAAGGATAAATAGTTTCCTCTCCCCGCCTTACGTGGCCACTCATCATCCACTTGACATTGCGATTTTATTAGTATCCTTGTAGTTAAATGAGTTTTCATATAACAATCTCCTCCCCCTTGGAGTACACGTCACTCCAATCGAGACTGATCTTTGTTTAAACGGATTACAATAAAACCGTCTGTCTGTCTTTGCGAAACGTTTTTTCAACTGTTCGATGAGAAATTGTATAGCCGACTGTACAGCCGAGTGCGTTGTTTCGAAAAAATTTAAATCAACAATTTTTTTTTATTTACATAAATGAAAATTCAACAAAAGCTAACGAAACTTTTTGCGTCAATTTAATTTACCGACGATACGAAATTTCGATAATGGGCATGGCACTTCGATCGCGGTGACTTTCCGTCTTGCGTCTACCAGAGAGCTCGCGAACGTTCTTTTTTTTTTTTTTCCTTGAATCGATGAATTTACTTTGCGGCATACAAAACAGCGGCGCCGCGCGGCGCGGCGCGTCGTAACGGTGGCGATGCGCAACGCAATAATTTGCGTATATCCGATAACGTATGACATTGGAGCATCGGTATATTTTCCGCGCTGTTAAGCACGAGGAGGCGATACAATGGAAACTGCTAATGGTATAAAATGATAAGTCTAATGTAAGATGGCGATCGGCTAATTATCTCAGTACGCGGCATCCGTAGTGGCTTGAGCCGCGCTCCGGAATTTACAGACAATGGCGCTTGAATGACGCCTCGGCTTGAATGGAACGCATCGCGAGCGGCACACAAGTTGAGTTAATCCGTGTTTATTCGCGGTAAGTAAATTAGCGCGCGGCGCTATCCAAGCGGGTATATAAAGATCAAAATATATCCTAGTATCCGATTAGCTACAATTTCCGATTAATCATAATCAACGTTATATAATTCTCAGTAGTTCAATTGAATGCAAGCCACACGGTGTCATGTGGAGCGCGTTGATAAAAGTGGCTAAAAAGTTTATTTAAATAACAAAGTGATTCAGCAGCGGTTTCTACCAGCACGCGGTGCTACGACAATCATTTCTGTCATTCACGATTCAATGGCATGCTGCCAGCGGAATACTTATGGCCGTTACGCAGCGCGTTCGTCGCGCGAAGAAAGGCGAAGTGTCGTGTATTACGGCACGAGAGCTTCTTCTGTAGGGTAAAAGTGTTCCGACATGTTTTCCAGAATGATCGTTAGAAAATGCACCGTCGCCGTCGACGGATGCGCTTGTTATTCTGGAGCAGTAGAACGATGTAAGAGAATAGTCGACGTTCCTGCATTCGGATTTCGCGCACACCATGCCACTCAATGGCAAACGAGAGTGAAACCTCTCCAGTTGGATAACTGCGTCGTAACGTGTCAGGAAGTCTCGAATTTTTTTCTGTCTAGAGTCATTTCTTCCTAATACGCGTATCTTTTATTATTCCGCGCGGATCAAAATCGGAGAGGCGTATGCCAGCCGAATCGATTGGCTGCCAGGGAATCGATAAGCATCCGCCTTTAGAGAGGATCCTCCAACGTCAATTGCATACGTCCAATTAGATAATATCGATCGTCCGACGTAATAATGCAAACGAACAGCGTTCCGCCGCCACTTTGTGAAATCGAGACGATCGGCGGGGAAGAACAGCGGTAACCGCCAATTTAGAGGAGCGTCATTATAATTCCCCGACCACGCGTGCTCGTATCGTCGTTTATTAATCGCGAGACGTATCAGGAACGCATTAGCCATGGTAATTCCATCGATTAAAACCGGCGCGGCCAATTTTATCCCACGCCAGAAACAGCTCCGCACGCCCTGATATTAACCGCTTGTGCAAGGGTCGATTAGAAGGGGCAGAATCATCGTCGTCGTAGTGAGTAAGACGGAGGTTCAGGGAGCAGAGAGAGAAAGAGGGGGATAAAAAATGGAACGAGTCACTATGGCGATCCACACGTGTTTACACGTTCCTGTTCCCACGTCTTAAAACGGGCCTCCGCAATCGCACAGCATCTCAGCCTCATTATGCGGCTTATCTCACATCGACGGAGACAGACTTCGCTTCCGCGGCTGAAAGTCCTGGCTACATACGTCGTAGAATCAAGAATCGACAAACGTATATATATATACACACACACACACACACATACTTCATACTCTTGATACCGGAGAGCGGCGCAGTCAATTTTGCTCTAGCAACCACGGCGGAATTATTAACTCGGGAGTAGAAGAGATGATTAAGGATATCGCGAAGAGGCTAGTCATATAAATCCATTATTAGAGATCGTAATAATAATACATACAATTTTAATTAAATCATCGGACCTAATCCTCGGAAGAGATCTCGAATTAACTTAGCCGGCCGATATCTACAATCGGTTTATCCTCAATGAGCTCTCTCTCTCTCTCTCTCTCTCTCTCTCTCTCTCTCTCAATAAGTCGGCGATGCTGGGGGCACGCGTTGATTGCGCCCGAGCGCGATTAGATCGACGTCACGCGATCTCCGTCCCAAGAAGTACGGTAGAACCGTTTCCAAGGTGGGCCGGATGATAGCCGTCGTCGGCATGAGCCATGAGCCGGTGCAGGAGAAGGCAAGGGCGAAGCCGCGCGGCGCGATGATGTTAGCCGTCTCCGGGTGGGAAAGTACGGCCGAACGAGGCTGCTTCAGCCCGGCCCGAAGAGCCTTGCGAGCCCTCGTTTCGCGCGATCTTCCAAGAACGCGCCACGCCTCGCGTCGCGCAATTGCGAATTGCGGTATGCGGGTTTTGCCGCGAGTTTTGCGCGAGTTTTGCGCGCAAGGACGATCCCGCTTCCGACTCCTTCGCGCCTTCGGTGCCTCCCCCGTGCGCGATTAACAGCTTGAATAATCACTCGACGAGTGAAACACGCGGTTCCAGAAATTACGCGTTCTCCTTCTCCCTCCCCCCCTCTCCTTCCCCACCTGCCGTCCCGTCCAACGACGACGATTGGACACTGGCGATTAATTCGCGAGAGGAATGACGAGGCGCTTCAATATCTCGCTCGCTTTCGAATCGT